AATTTTTATATATTAAATTTAGTATGGCAATAGGAAAATAGAAAATGAATTGTTCTCCAATTTCTCTATTATACTATGAAACGTTGTTTTTCATATTACTATTGCTAAATTTGAATAGAAAAATATTGGATGTATTACAAATCCCTGTTTTATATGGTTTTAAAGCTTTAAAGCAATTCTGACACGGACGCGGAATGAGCGCTTTAGGTGGGACCGAATATTCTTAATTCCTTTCACCAAGCCGGCGACATTAAGTGGTTGCACCCTCTTTCAGAATCGGGTTTGGCACGCCATTGTAATAAGGAGTAACTTTTAAATCACTGAGTGGACTTACAGAGCTAGAATTCCTTCTAATTTATCCAAATATATATCCACGGTATATCAACTTGTCCCGCAATGGCTACAGACTCCTGGGCGCAGGCCGTGGATGAGCAGGAAGCCGCCGCAGAATCGGTAAAAACTTACGCAACGAGAGCTAACCTGTTGTTAGCCTGTGTGAAATGATGCTCTGGCCCTCTGTGGGAACTGTCGAGGTGAAAGAAGTGTAAATATTGAGTTTATGCCATATTTATTTTTCTGGTGACACTGCTGGCGTACGCGCAGCTTTTTTTTTCTCAAAGATTTGTGACTCACAAAACTATGGTACCGGCTAAGTTAGCCCCATGGTAGCTTTAGCAGTTAGCAGGCTAAGATATAAACGATTCTATTTACTTCTGCTTACTCACCTAACGTTTTTTGTTTTTTCCTTCAACAGATCAGTAGTCTTCAAATAAAGGACAAACCAGAAGAGAACGGTGAGCAAGCTAAATTGTTCGAATAAGTAAAAAAACATAATTTTAAGATGTTATTCAAATCTAAATCGCCTTTGCGGATTAAACTGATTAAAACAACTCATTTCTACTGTTTTCCAATATTAAATTTCTGAACACTAGATAGTATTATCCTTAAAATATAATATATCAGCCTGCATCCAAAACAAAAGATATAAACACCCTGATAAACTTCTGTTTAACGTTTATGTAACCCATTAACCATACATGGGTCAGTTCTCACCCATTGTTGTTGACTATTCTCTGTTTAAGTTATATCACTTCAAGCCTATTCTAACAGTCTGAACTACATAGTAAGTAATGAAAGTATTCATGGATTGTGTTGATTTTCTATCCGGTCAGTACTTTTGGGAATTTAAAAGTTGTATTGGGACTCTCCTATGATGGAGTCTATTGTTTCTGAGTCTGCTTTCTATTTTTAAGAGTTATGTCCTGAGTTTTAAAGGAATAGTACACCCAAAACATGATTAGCCTTCATTTTCTACTCACCCCCATGCTGAACAACACTCTGGAGTACTTTTTTGATAT